CTTGGACACAGCGGGGCCAGCCGGGGGAAGATCTTCAATGCCAGACAAGGAGGGAGAAGCGGGACGGGCAGGAAGATTGGAGCACACCACCGAGAAAGGCGTGCCCTTAGCCCCACCTGAGGCCGCATCCCCTCCGCCCAAGCCAGGCACCGAGTCCTAGGCCCCCCTGCCAGCAGGCGCATTCTCCTTTAGCATATCCTGATCTTCGGGAGAAAGCCCATCCCACTCCGACTGGGTGAAACGAGGATCGGTCCAATGCATGGAGTCGTCGGGGCATCCATCCCCATCTTTTCTCTTGTCGCCATTGCCAGAGGCCGGAGGCGGGGGAGGAGGAGGAGGCGACACCGGACCTGAGGCCCCCTCCACCCGCACCCGGAGCCGAAAGCCACCAGCCGCAGGGAAGACATCAATGGCGCCATGGATGCACAGTCGGTCAACACACCAGACCCGAAGCCGGGTCGGCCCCAGGATGGCCAGAGAGTCTTGGTCCACTTCAATAGGTTTCCCGATGAGAACCCCGAAAGCCATGAGTAACGCCGTGGTGCGCATGTTAGGAGGGACATCTTCAACCAGTACCCACACATCAGACAGAGAAGAAATCGCCTTGGACCCGTTGGAAGCAGCTTTGACCGAGACCACAAGTTGATTCAGAGGCAGCGTGAAGCTAGTGCAAGAGGAGATCATACGGAGGCTCTCTTTGGAAGGAAAAGTCGCAGCAAAATCAAACTCAGAAAGTTGGCGAATTTGCCAATCCCAACCACCCTCATCCCATAACTGAAGTTCGTCAAGAAGGGTTTGGGAAGAAATGCATTTATCCTGGACGGAGATAATGCCAACATTGGAAAGCGACGGAATAGGGGCTGCCTCCGGGATCCCCCTATCTAAAGCAAAGAAAGAACACCCAGGGAGGCCGGTGCCATAATGAACAAAAGCGGGAGGCTTGACACGATTCTGACAGCCCACCGTGAGGTGACCGTCTTCTCTGCAAATGAGGCAAAAGGGAGGGTTTTCACACCGAGATTGGAAATGGCCGGGGCGGTGACACGCGAAACAGGTGAGGATGGGGTTGGAGACTTGGGATTAGGGAGGGATGCGACCAGAGCCACGAGGAGGAGGAGGACAGATACCGTCACCTGGCGAAACAGGACCAGATCCAGAGCCCCGCCCGGCAGCAGGACCAACAGGGCAGCGGACCGGGACCCCCGACGCGCCTCGGGGGAAGAAGCGGGACGGACCACCCCCAGCCGCCACCGGAGCCCGCAACGGAGCGACGCCCCGGGGAGCAGCACCCAGCGGAGGAGACGCCTGGGTTGGCCCCGACGAGCCCGCCCGACTGGCCGCCGCCGCCAACTCCCAGGGATCGACCGCAGCCGTAGGAGCACCAGATACGGGAGGGAGAGGCACCGACGGGCCCGACCCAGAGGCGCGGGGAGACACGCTAGACGACGCCACCGCCGACCCCACCTCCGGGGCGAGAGAGGCCTGAAGCTTCGCACGAAGAGCCGCCTCATACTCCAGATCCACGGCCGCCTCGCCGGAGCCATCACGCCCCCGCTTCTGCCCGGAAACCGCCTCACTGGAGGATGCACGGGAGCGATCCATCGCAGCCACCGCCGCAAAGGAGAGGGAGAGGGGAGGGGGAGGAGTAGATCTGGTGAAGCGCCGAATGGGTAGACGGTGTCGAGACAGATCTGAGGAGGAGGCAAGAAACCCTAGAAATGGGGGAACCGCACCCCTCCGCACCCATAAGTACCCTGACCGAGCCATGCCCGACTCGATAGAAGGCCTCACTGGAGGGGTGGGCTGGACCTGGGCCACCCGCGGCCCAGAAACCAGAGAAGGAAAGGGGGAAATCAGACAAGGACGCCAAGGCCAACACTGAGAAAGGCCCATCCGGCCCAGCAGCACCCAGCACGGCCCCCACCACAGGCGGGGGAACCAGCGCCGCCCCCGATCCCAGATCTAGGGTTGGCACCAGCGCTGACGCCGCCAGAGCGAAGGAGACCGCATCGGAGGGCGAGCAAGCAAGGGGACCCGCCGATGGCGGCGCAGCCCCATCCACCCCAACGGACACCAACGGAACCGCAACAGGGGACCAGCACGACGCATGCCGGCGACCACGCGAAACGCGGCGCCACCCATCCACATCCACGACGGGCCCGACGGGCCGCCCCCGCCCCCGGGCGCGAACTTACGTCGGCGACCCGCCGCCGCAGCCACAGGGGAACAACACACCGGGATAGGGCGGGGAGGAGTAGAAGGAGCCTCAGAATCCTCCCGGAGCCATCGGAATCAAGCGCCCAGAACTTATTGGTCCGGAGAGGGACGATGCGGCCAGAGCGAGAAGGGGAGATCAGGGAGCAGGGGGGAGCGGCACGCGACGCCGGAGCGGAGCCCGGAGGAGTCCGCGGAGGGGAGGGAGGGGGAGGGGTCGCAAGGGGCAGGGACGCCGCCGGGGCGGAGCCAGAAGCAGGTGTCGCCACGAGGGGAAGGGGGGAGGGGGGAGAGGCGAGCCATCCCTCGAACGTGTTTTTTTCAACTTTTGCCACTTGTTGTTCTGCAATAAAATTGGGGCCGCTTTTGGGGTGAAACAGACATTGCGCGGACGAACGGGCCGTGTGCCGTGTCCTCCCCTGGCCCGCCCATCGGTGGCATAAGGACCCCTTTTTATATCCACCCCCTCCCCCTCCAGCCGCACCCCCTCCACTCTTTTCCACTCTTGCCCCTAGCCGCCGCCGCCGCCGCTGCCATTGCAGTTGTGCAGCTCGGACGTGCGTTCGCCCAGCCCCCTTCCCCTCGACGCCCCCGATCTACCCAACTACGGCCACCTGATTTGCGCACCCCGCGACCAGATTAGGAACGGATCCAATCGGTCTTGAGCTCGCCCAGCTGTGGGAGGCCGCTCCGCGCCATGGATTGGCCGGGCACCGGGCCGAAAGGCCCCGGCAAGGCCGCAAGGCCGCATGCAAGTAGTGGCTCCTCCTCTAGCCGCTCGGATCTACACCTTCGATGGTCTGTCGGCAGATACACGAATGATGCTCGGTCAGGTTCAGTGCTAGCCCAAAAACTCGTCGGCGCACCGTTGTCACTCATTAAGTGCGACGACTGCTCAAAGAAGGTCGTGCGCCGCGTGTCTACGACATCGGAACATTTCGGATGAGTGTTCATCAAGTGCTTAAACGATGGGGTATGTGCTACTTTAGCTTCAGTTGTGCTCTCAGATTTGACTAGTTGTGCTAACTTAAAAAATTTATTGTGTAGAATGGATGCAAGTTTTGGTATTGGGAAGAAGAGTATATCGATATATTGATAGAGCACAATTTAGTAAATGTCCGTGCACTTTTAGCTAGGAGACTAGTGCCTATGCACCCATTGTCTAAATACACATGAGACTAGTGCACTTGTTTCTAGAATAGAGGCTAGACATGAGACTAGATGTGAGGAAGCAACGTCTATTTCTTTACACTCAAAGAAGAAAGAAGCATGCAAGATCGATCATCCTTCATAGATCAACAATGAATGCATTGGGAAGACACTAATCCAACTTACAAGAGCAGTTATGAAAGTTTGATATCTTCTAAAATGTATTCTTGTGTTTCTTGTTTTCTTTGGTCTTTCTTTTCCAGTCAAAATTTGGTGATGTATTCCCGTGTATCAAATATCAATAATGAAAAAGAAGTTATGGGTTTGCAAAGAAAATTACACACGTACAGGATGCGGCCAGATGCGTCCGCGCGTTGGGCGCACGGTCACCGCATCCCAGAAACTATCCGGACACGATCCCATTACATGCCCTACCCAAACAGAAAATCCGGATAAAACAGACGTCCGTTTGGGGTCGTACGATGAAGTTGGCCTAACCCATGTGCAAATTAAGCCTATAACTGCGGACAGAGATATACTACCACATGCATGGTCTGCCTGTAGATTCGCCTGTATAACGGGTAGTACCAAGAATTGGCGCATGCATATGGATGTATCTACGCAAGTGAACAACTGTGCAGGTTATGCCAAGACGGCAAGACCACGAGACCGAGCGTGGGCGAGCGCCGGGCCACCGGCCGGCCGACGCCGAGATTCCGGTGGACGCATGCATGCACGTATCTCGCACAGCAATCATGGGTTCATGGCCGTATACGAACACACTCTCGTCTTGCCACTCAACGGCGCCGTGGTAGGCGTCTGGACGACGGACAAAGATACGTACGTACCACTTGTTGTTCTGCAATAAATAGTCGTATCATCATTTGGTTTGTATTGTTGTATGTATGTATTGGCGTACATATGGGAACTGCATGTGCAAATTGAGCAAGTAAACCATGTGCCACGTATGTACGGCCCAGCGAGCACCGGTCCACTCTGAGTCTCTGAGATTCCCATGGACACATGCATGCATGCATGTATCTCGCACAGTACACAGTGCACACTAACACACAGGACACAGCGATCATGTGTGGCGTATACATCAGCCCGCAAGTGCACCACGTACGGAGGTCGTAACACGTCGCCGAGTGGTCGCTGCTCTCACGTACGTGCGCCGAATGTGGACGACGTGGGGCCTTTGGACCCTTTGCCTCTATCATGTGGCCATGTGCATGCACGTGCACTGTCCCCTCACCAACCAATCAAAGCCCCATCGCACTGCACACACATGCACACACACACATGAACACACGATCATGCATATCTCCTCTCCCTCTCTCCCCAACTCACACGCACCAAATATATCTCCTCTCCCTCTCTCCCCAACTCACACGCACCAAATATATCTCCTCCAAGGACAGCTCATTAGCGTCCATATATATATGTGTGTGCGTGCGTACACTGATGCATACTACACACAATCGAGCTTGTACTCCGCATGACAAAAGCACCACACGCACGGCGCACTACAGTTCACGCCAAGTTCGCGATAAGGTTTCTTGCTCCCTCATCATCATCGCCGGCGGTTTGTTGGTTGTAGCTACCTTGGTGTCGTCTGCCTAGGTCCCTCCCTTATCATGCAAGGCTCGATGCAGTTCAAGCGGGCGCTGCTCAAGAGCCTGCTCCTAGGTCTCCGGGAGCGTGGCGTCGCGTCTAGGGAGATGGGCTTCCTCGAGAGGAAGCGCGCCATCAGGCGCGCCGCCGACGCCGCCCTCGTCTCGGCCAGGGGCTCCGACGCGACGCGTTGGAGCCAGGCGCTGGAGACGCAATGTCGGCCGTCGACGAGCAAGAGGGTCTTGAGGAGGTGCCACCGGCCTAGGCCGAGGAAGGCCGGCACGGCGGCGAGGCCGAGGGGCTCGGCTGGCGTCGTCGCGAGGGCCATGCTGAGGAAGAGGACGCAGGTCTTGAAAGGGATCGTCCCGGGAGTGCAAGCCGTGGACGATGAGTGCACGCTGCTGGGCGAAGCCTTGGACTATGCCGTGTGTCTCAAGGCTCAAGTTGATGTAATGCAACTTCTGGTGAGGGCTCTTCAAGCTCCGAAACAATAGCAAGGGAGTCTCTTTGCGTGTGCGGAGTTCGTGGAGATAATGCTTCTCTACCTTCGTTCGACAGCAACTCACAGCATGCAGTGAGAGGGTCAGCGATCATGGATATGTAATATTTTTAGTATGCCAAATTGTCATGTAAAATATTATGCATATAGCTATATTATGCTCCCTTCTCTCTAGAGTTACCATAATCGGTCTGTTCAACAATGCATGTCATATACGCGCACATCAATAATCATTTTCATTATGAGCATATATTGGTAAAAAAAAGAAGTTAAAGGACCTGTTGCATGCATGCACTCCGGTGAAATTGAAATTCTCCGTGAAAATGTGGAGTTTGTCCAATGGATAGAGTCGGCCAAGATTTTGCAAATGTTCAAGTCGATGGTACTAATCGTCTGATAATCTTGATTCTTCCCATTCTTGAGCAAATCTCAATGTGGAGACTTGCATCTAATGGCTAGGGCGTCGACTTGGATATAAGAAAAATCTTAGCCAACTTAGTTTTAGGGAAACCGAAAGCTATACCAAGTAAAAAAAAAAATCATGAATATGCAGGATTGCGTATCATTTCATTTGTAGGTGAAGAATGAAACAACTTCAGAACTACGTACACAAGATGGTGTGGTTGCCAGCGCATGAGCATAACAGGGATAGGGATGCTCAGCCCTACAAAGTCTACGTCTCGGCTAACAGTAGGTAATTATGCGTGGATAAAACATTAATAGATAAATTTAGAGAAAATTTATTTTGATTTATAGAAGATGAATAGACAGATTTAGAGAAATTTTACTTTCATTCTAAGATGTTTCCTATTTCCTATCGAGTAGAGTCAACAATAGCTCGAGGAAACAGTTCACTATAACTATTGCTCTGTATGATTGAGAACAGTGTGGGTGCACATGCGCGTAGGCTCACAATACTTTTGATTAGACCTGAATAATATTTCATTCATAAAAAATGGAAACATGAAGATCCTTTTCAATCATATGTTTGTTCTGTTATCTGAAAAAAAATATCCAAGAGGGGACAAAGAGCTGTCGATTGTGTCCACATGGACAAAACAGCAATTGCAATATGCGCCAATCTCCTGACTTTCAGATAGCTACCAAGTTGACCTTGGAGCATGCAATTCTTGATTTCAGGAGTCACAACGACATGTTTTTGGGAGTTACTATTTTTTTTTGCAAATGTTAGGGGTACTATATTATAGTAATATTATGCCATTTTGGAAAAATATATGGGTCCTAAATTCGGAAACCGTGAGAAGAGGATAAAGACCATCACCTGAACCATGCCGCTTCGCCACGGCAAGCAGACAACGGCGG